GATAAGAGGTCATGGCAATGCCGAGAGGGCCACTGGGCAGTTCACAGCGGGCAGAGCCGCCCCAGCTGCCGGGGAGCGCGTTGGGTTTAGGAGACTAAAATCAGACACAAATGGGGAATTCTGTCTTTTTCCCCTTTTTCATAAACCTGCCCGCTCTTTCCAGGTTGCTGCCGCCAGCAAAAAGAGAGCACAGCCTCTCAGTACCCGTAAACTTTATTAAATGTGTGCTTTTTTCATTCTTAAATTAAATTAAAATCAGTCTGTTTCATACTGGAATAGCACCAAAGGGAGAAGGATGACAGTACCGCCGAGCAAAGGGGAGGGAGGAGAGAAAACCCAGAAACCGTTACATACGAACAAGTATTTTTTTTTTTAATTGTTAAGAAAATGGGTGGGTTTTTCTTCCCCTAATCTGGAGATGTTGTGTATGCGGGTGTGTGTGTGGGAGAACCGAGGAGGCCAAGGATCAGCGTTGGTCAAAATCACTCAGTGCAGGGTCGGCACGGCCAAATCCTTGCTGGAAATGTAACTTCTTAGCGCTGCACCCCAAAGACCACCCCGAATACCACGCGGAGGAGTCTCATATGCCGTTCTTCGCGGCAAATTGGTGTTTCTGTTCCTTTTAACTGTGTAAATGATTGGGTGGCAGCATTTCCTTAGGAGTCGATTAAAATTCCCCACGGCACGAAATCAGCGCCAACTACAAGGTGGCCGCAGCAGCCTGGTCCGTGCCCTTCCAGGAATCTCAGCCGCGCGAATCGCAGCAGCAGAGGGGCCAGGTTTTGTCTTGCCAATCTGCGCTGGTAAAGAAAAACCCATTTTTCTGCAGTTTTCCAGGTGTGGCCGGTTGAAGCACGGTGCGAGGAGCCTTCCCTCGGTTTGGGTTTAGCTGAAAGCGGCCGCTGCCGTGGGCTAAAGGGAGGTCTCCCTTTCTGAACTGGGCTCTACGTGAAGACTTTGGGTCTGCGCCAAAGGTCCTGGTGGTTTCTGCCCACCAGGGCTGCGGTGCCCTGTTTGTGGGGCTGGGCTGGGCAAGGCGCTGGGCAAACCCACAGAGCCCCACCGCCTGTTGACCAGGGGCACCAGTGCGCCACTGCAAATGGGGGACGAAGGAGATGTGTCTGCCTGCTCAGAGATCATAGAATGATAGAGTAGTTTGGGTTGGAAGGGACTTCTAAAGGCCATCTAGTCCAACCCCCCTGCTATGAGCAGGGACATCTTCATCTCGATCAGGTTGCTCAAAGCCCCGTCCAACCTGACCTTGAATATGTTCAGGGATGGGGTGTCCACCACCAATCTGGGCCACCTGGGCCAGTGTTTCACCCCCCTCAGCATAAATAATTTCTTCCTTATGATGAATTCAGCACTTGATATTGATAGGATGCTTTATAAAGGGTTTGGGATTTTTTAATCTTAAAACAAATGTTCTAAGATCTAAATGTTATGCACTGAACTTCATCAGTGCACATTTGATTATTGAAACCAGAAGAATTTTAATACACCTAATTAGTTTCTCATCGTTAATGTATTGATTTTTCTGCTTAAAAAAAAATCAAACTTTATAGGTCACTTTCTTATTTATAGCTACTTTTGCTTTCTCCTCCTAATACACATGCTCAATACTGTAGGCCTAGGAGGGGTGCGGTTTTCAATAGTTTACTTCCAATTCTCCTTAGGTTAAAATAATCTAAATTTCATGGCTGGATTTTAAAATAAGCCTAAAGAGTTTGGAGGCTTAAATGTTATTAGAATTCAAAGCAATTTGATTGCATGACCTCTTTTTAAAAGCCATTGTTCATACGTGGAGGGATTTTCAAAAATACTTATGGCCCAGATCGAAAAAAATCAATTCCAGTCTCAGATCTCTAAATAGTTTTACTAGGTGTGCAAGGGATTCAAACCCTCAGAAATCAGTGGAAGTAAAACTTTCAAGCATTTTTGGGAAAATATGCCTAGGTAGCTGAGTTCAGCGTGCTGGGAAGGGTTTTTTAAAGGCACATATGATAGTTAGGCTTGGGTACGCACTGAAGCTATACTGATTTAATGACAGTGATTTGGTGGCAGTTGTAGAAACTCATTTGTACAAAGGTGCTTGGTATTGCTGTAGCTAGCTCAATATGGGAAGGACAATCCGGAGCACTATAAAGCTGCTTTATACTAGTCTAAGCATGACCATAAGAGAGACAGTAGCAATATAATTATATTGATTTTTTTAAAATCATACTCTTCAGTGATATTTATACTTGTTAAAGGCATGTACAGATTAGCCCAAACTTAAGTCTCTTTGAAATTCCAGAGACATGGCATGCTTAAGTCTTCTTTTCAGCTTGGAAGACCTCACTTTTTGTGCCTTGGTAGTCGTGGCAGTATATGGTTGTGCCCATGAGCGATGCCTTGTCCTCGCCACCAGCTTGGCTTTTGTACTTGGATGGAAGAGGACAGCGTGGGAATCTCCCATTCCTGCCCCAACAAACCTTGCTGTTAGAAAGGTTTTCCCAGTAATTAACCCCCATCCTTTTGGCTACACCTTGAGCCCATTCCCCATTGATGTGGCCGGCATGAGCAGAGACCAGATTGCTCCCCACGTCTCCAGTGACACATTGGGGAGACCAAAATCCCAACGTTCTTCCAACTTCTTCCAATTTGGGGGCATTGAGCTCCAGCAATGAGCTGCAGGGATGCTGGGAGGGATCTTGACCCCATGAAGCCAAAGCTGCTTGACCATCTCTGATTTTCTTCTGTCATCTCTTACATGAACGTTGAGGGGCTGAAGGGAGACAGGTAAAAGAAAAGGCTGTTGGGGGTCTGTGTGATCCCTCATCTGCCTTTCTGCTGTAAGGGGTTTGCAGAAGGCAACTACGTAAGGTGTTTACCCAGATGTGGTACAGGACATTGCCAAAAGGGGCTTAAAATGGGATCCACTGGAACAAGAATGGTGGGAAAGTGGTGAAGGTATGAGTGGAGGGAATAAGGGTGGCACTGAGCTGTGCCGTGCCAGCACAGACTGCTGGCCGCAGCCCAGCTTTGGTGCCGCCAGCTCATCACCACCGCTCCACCAGCTGGGACACAGAAACCTGAGCTCAGGTTAAGGCTTTGGGGCAAAAACGGTGGGAGAAGGTTCCAAGGCCTTGCAACACTAATGAAGTTATTTTAATCACCTTGGGAAATGGGCCTTGCATGCAAAACCATGTGGGTTTGTGTCTTCAGGGGATAGGAAGGTCCCAGGACTCTGCATCCTTGGGACCGGAGGGAGACGGGAGGTGGCTCAGGGCAGCCAGGAGGGCATGTGGCTCAACACCTGCAGTGGACCTTGGTGCCACGAAGCTGAGGAGGTACCAAGCCATTTTCCTAACCCGTCAAGCAGGACAGCCCAAGGTGGAAGTGACTCCCTCTTGGGTTAAATTGTAATTTCAGCTACAATTCTCTTTGGGCTCCTTGAAATCTCTGCGCTGCTGTGATTTTATTAAGATCTTGGCCGGTCTGCAGGCAGCCAGTGAACTTGGCCCCCAGGCTTCTTCCTAAGCAGATTACCAGGTGATCCCCCACTTAGTTTGTTTTACCCCTTTTTAAAGTTAGACTCAGGAGAGGGAGCATCATCATGTTGTGTTTATACAGCACCAAGCGATAATTAGGTACTCCTGTAGTCCAGAAAATGCTGAAGATAAAAAGCCAGCAGATAAATGTGCCCACAGTAATACAAGATCCTGCTTCGCTAATAGATTTCTGTTGCTGAGACACTTCTACCAGCCAAAAAAAGGTGATAAGGATCAAAGCAAAGAATTTAAAGCTCCTGGTTATTGCAAACAAGAGATTCGTTTTGCCTGACAATTTTTAAAGCCCTGCACACCCACTGCTCTCGTTCCTGCTTCCCCCTCGGTTCTCCTTTATGAAAGGACAAGAAAACTTCCATTGTCTTCTCCTCATTCTCTCCCCTTTCTGGATGTGATTTTTGTTCTTTTTTTTTTCCCAAACAACCCTTTCTCCACTGTTAAGACTGGCCCAACGTAAAACATTCTTCATTATGGCTTAAATGTCACCCGCGCGACACTGTGAACTTGTTTCCTGCATACAAGTGGTGGAATGGTGGGTCCCCCATCACCTTCCAGACCGGTGTACCATGAGCATCATCTCGGTGTGGACCTTCCTCGCCCATCACCCAAATCCTGGCCCCCAGCACTGGGAAAATCACTCCGCTCTCAGCAAAAGGGGTGCGCGTTGCTGGCAATGGGGGAACACTGGTTTAGAGCCAACTCCTGTGAATGAGGTCTTTTGACTACCTGGCAATTTTCATCTGTCAAAAGAATCATTTGTTTTCTTTCACTTTTGGCTACCCAAATTGCTTTGTCTCAAAACAAAACAAAGGATTATTGGTTTTGGCTTCTATAAGATGAAAAAGAAGTTTGGTTGATGAAAAGAACTTGATTTAGAGGGAGCCAAAGTCAAACAAAAAATTGGATAAATGAAAATAATGTCACCAAAGGTTTAATGCAATAAAAAAAATCCGTAACGTAAGGTTTTGAAAACCAAATTAGATATTAAGTCTCCTCTGTTTCATTGTCAAAAGTGATGAGGTCTGGTCTAAAATGGCATTTGCAAGCCAAAATCTAGCTGACCTTCCCGGAAGGCTCTGAGCTCCCCCAAGCACCCCTGTCGCTTCTGGAGGCGGACCTGAGGACATCTAAAAAACTTGCACCTGCATTTTTCTTTTTACAGAGACAGTGCTAAACCTTGGGCCCACCGAAGGAAGCAGCCATGCTGCAGGTGATGTCAGTAGGACCAGGTTGCTGTTCACAGCCTCCTTTTCTGGATGGACACATCACCTCATCTCTGAGAGAAGAAAGTAAACAAAGCAGTGTCAAAAGAACAAAAAAAAATCAGAACAAATCATGTTTCAGCACAACTATTATTTTTTTTCTGTATTTCCCCCCCCTCTCTACTGATACGTAAAAAAAATATATATTATATTATATTTTCCTTTTCTTAAATTATTTTTTTCAGCCTCAGTCCCAGCCGAAGTCCTGCCCCGTCATCTGGTAGAACTTCATGTTGAAGGGCCGGTAGAAGTCCCGCAGTCTCTGCACCACCTCCTGGTCTATGTCGGGGTGGGTCCTGCCTTTCGTCTTCCCCAGGCAGTGGGGTTTGCTGCTGCCTTCCGCCTTCTTCAGACACGGGAACCCCTTGGTTTTGTTGAAGTAGAAGTGTTTATCGGTGATGATCCTCTTGAGGCCCAGAAAGTCCTGGACCCTGCCCAGCTCCCCCGCGGGGTCGCTGATCAGCCTCTCCCCGCTGACGAAGAGGATCTGCCCGATGGGGAAGTAGAGGAGCCAGTTCTCCAGGTGCTTGGCGTAGATGCCAATCTGGATGGCGCTCCACGAGGTGTCGATCAGGCCCGTAGTCCTGTTTTTGAAGGTCAGGCTCTCAAAGGTGGGGATATCGGGCTTCTTGGAGAGCGTCTGGGTGTAGTCCGAGATGGCTCTGGTCACGGGGTCCCGCACCACCACGATGAGCTTTGTGCCCTTGGACATGGAGGAGATGCGGGCGGGGGCCTCCTTGGTGACGAAGTAGCTGGGGGTCTTCTCCATGGTGATCTGCCCCTCCAGGGTCCGGGGCATGAGGTCTCTGAGAGAGGGGGAGAGAGGGACACGTTAGTGCCGAATGTCCCTGGGTGAGGTGGGGGAAGCTGAGCGCAGGCAGTGCTCCGGGGATGTCCCAGGTCCCAAGGGTGGGATGCTCCTGAGCCTCACGCCTCCAGCCCAGCTTGCTTTCCTCCTTCGTGGATTGTCAGGAGGCCCGCAATGCTCCCATTCAGCAAAGCATCTAAACACCCTTCCGATTTCCCACCTCCTTTGGCTCTGCCTGTTTACCGAGAATTAGACCTAAACCTATTGTGCCTCTTATTCAGGGCCTCTAAGGGGCTTCTTGAGGGGGATCCCACCTCCCTTCTTGCAATGGCGCTGTAAGAACAGAGCACATCTCTACAATCCAAAATTCCTATCCCTTTAAATTCCTCCCTGCCCACACTGGCATTTTCTGCACATTGGCTTAAATTCCCTGGAATAACAGTGACTTTCTGCAGTCACAACCCTCCCTTCCTGCAGGGCACAAGGGATTTTTGAGGGTCAGGATGTAAGACTCTATCTTTTGGTATTTTCAAGGTGGCAGCAAGCTGATGTCACAGAAAAATGTGCAATATCAGCCCCCCCCCC